TGCAATATGCAGCAGCAGAAGGATTATGATGTGTGAGCTGCAACATGACTCGAGTCTGTTGCATGGAATATTCATTACTGTCATTCAGGATTTAGGATTTAACACAGTAGATGCACATTGAGTACCTTGAGCACTAACAGAAGATCATAAGGAACCACAAATGGCATGTCATTTGTCATTTTTGCAGCAGTATTCTGTCAGTAGTCTGCAGTTTCTTGAATGCATTTTTTACAGGAGACAAGTCATAGGTTTACCACCATATCACAGAGTCAGATGCACCAGTATGGAATGGTAACACCCTGATTCATTATAGACAGAAAATCTCAGGATTGTGAGGTCTGCTGGCAAAGTGATGGCTGCATTGTTATGAGATCCGAATGGCATTTTGCTTGTAGACGTCGTGAAACAATGCACAACAATCAGTGTAACAACTTGCTGTATAACACTGACATATTTGTCCATGGCCATTGAACAGAACTATCCTGGATTTCTCTGGAAAGGTGTTCTTCTGTAAAACAGTGCATGGCCATGCTGTCGTATGGCAACCCAACAAGTTTTGCAGGCTCTCTAGTTGGAGACGGAACATCCTGTGTATAGCTTTACATATTATTTTGTATAGGAACGAAACTAGGTCCCTTAACCTAAGGCAGAACATAGAATTGTTACTGTTGCAGATAATAAGAAATGGTGTAAAGAATTGATGGTGTATTGCACCCTCTATTGCAATTCCACTCTGGAAGTCAGTTCTAATTGGTTTCAACCAGATGTGCTTCACATTCGAGGCTGTCTTGACTGCTCATTGTCAGTATTCTGAATGACACACAATCACTAGATCAGTGAACCAGTTGTGACAGTGACAGACTCAACTGGATATGTTCTCACCTAAGGGCAGAAACGGTCTATTTTCTGAAATGTGTTGTGTTTGAAATACTAGACAATGGACAGTGTTCAGAGACTCAGTAATCCATAGCCGAAGGAATTTGTGATAGGGTCCTGAGAAGTATATTTGTACTAAGAGAAAGCATTAGGAGGTTAGAGAAAGTTAGCATAACCAGTATTTTCATAGTCTATACTCTTCACAAATCTTATTAACCAGAAACCCAAAGGGAAGATCTAGGCATAGATGGGATACCAGTGTCAGTCATCACAGATTTCGATGACTGACCAGCTGACTCCAGTCACTGTTTCACATGCAGTTCAGGCTGAGGCAAACAAAAGCTTTGCATGTAAGTGTAGCGTGCAGACACAACACTCATCACGACAAACCCTGATGATGGAGGTAGAGACAGTCTCTGAAGCATTGGATACCAACTCCACATTCACACAGCTGATCATCCAAAGAGGACATCATTGTATACTGTTGATGTGAGAACTTGAAATCATATGTAGCAATACAGTTTCAGGTTGCATAGAAAGTATGACATTTGTCTAGCTAAAGCAGTGTCTTAGAGAAATTAATAGTTGTTTAGTTAATCAAGAAACACCTAGACTTATGGAAGGGGAAGGTCCGTTGCTGTATTTACAAGTGCCATGACCCTATTCCGAACCTCCAGAATTCTTGTAAACAGAAAACATTTCATGAAAATTTTACTGAATTTGTGGGTCTCACCTCATGATATTATGGCCATTAGTAAGTGTCACTGGTTGGAAGAGTTGCGGATGGATGGTTGTCTACAGCTGGGGGATTGTGTGGCATATACAAGCCTTGCTGCAAGATGTGGTTTCCATTCCTTGAAGGTATGACTTATTCCAACCTTTCTTCTGTCAGTGAATATTAGAGGTGAGATTAAAAGGATTCTGAGTCCAAGAGCTGTTTTGAATGTTAATACACTTTTGTTTTCTCTTTAGATTTTGGACCTGCGAAATACAAGAATGGGTGACAGTGATGTGGCCTGTTTCAGTCTTTCACTCAGGCTGACTCATCTGTATCTGCAGTGTCCATCTGTTGATAATGAAGTTAGTGATGACTTACATGGTGATCCAAACTGTGTGGAGGGATAGTAAGTTGCTGATCATAGAGTTAATAACTGTCTATTTTACCAAGTCCACTTCTCTGTGGACAAGTAAAAATACATAATTTTGTTTTTAACTTTGTGTTTGGTGTATATGAGTATAAAATTTGATCTACGAGGGTCATACTGAAAGTCATGAGCAACAGTTTTTTGTAACTTAACAAACCTGTCTTTATTTTTCCACATAATTGCCACTTCTTTGTACACATTTCTCCCAGCATTCTGGGAGTTTGAAAATTCCACTTCTGTAAAATTCCGTTCAAACCATTCGAAGACAGTGACGCACTG